GCCATTTCCACAATGGCTGAAAATGTGTATTTTTTTTTCAGCTAAAGTAAACTGGTAAACTTTTTTGGGTGTTTTTAATGATGAACGCTAGAAGTCAGCATTAAAAATCTGAAATTACACAGAGGTTTAAAAAAAACTGCAGCATGTGGTGTATAAGTAATATTTTTCTTTGTTTCAGGCACATCTCTTGGATAGAAACCCTTACACTCCTTAACCATTTAGAAGGTCTGTGGTTCAATACCCAGCTCCTTCAGTCTGAACAAACTGAGAAGTAGCACACAACAGTAGTGCATCAGTCACTTTGCAGCACCAAGGTTATAGGGTTGAAGCTATCCAAAGACATGCTTGTACCCTCTCACCTAATGTTTGGGATCTCTTAACTGGATAAGTGGTTAAAAGAAGACGTCTGAGCCTGTTTGTATTCATCACAAGAGTTATCAAAAGGGCAAAAGGATCATCCCTCAATCCGCACAGCACTGTGGAGCTACAGCTGTCATTGGACCATTGGAAAAACATGTGACATATATGTTGTCCTAGTTCTTTTATTTGGCCTAAAAAAGGAGGCCCTAAATAAATTCACTATTAAAAGCGACTAATTTATATTCAAAAGTAGAGTAAAACCTCTAAATCCCACAATAAAAATCTTGATAAAGAGTCATTTTCTAAGATGGAAATGAAATTTAAAAAATCCTCAGATTCAAGAAGCTAATTGATTTTTAAGTCAATGGCTCCAGAGGCACAAACGTCCATATTTAGTATCCACTTTTGAAAGATTTTTTTTTCTATTATCTGCTGCACTGTTAGGATGTAGGTCGTACATCTTAGCCCTAGTGTATTATTTCAATCAATACAATCTTGTGTTATAGTCTTTAAAGAGCAGAACAACACGTGTCACTCGTGTTCGTATGTTTCCTGTTTTGATTCATACTTCCAGGCATCGCTCACTTACGTTGCCAAACCATATTTATTTAATGTCACTTTTGTAAAAAGGCAACAGTGCTGATTACATAAGCTCAGTTCTTGCAATGTCATGTATTTTTACTGGAAAGTGTCATAATGATATGTACAGTTTTTTCAGTTTCAAAGGACATGTTTACATAAACAACACACTCCTTTATTTTCTCCTCCTCTTTTACTTTACCTTTTAACAAAGAATAAACCAGTTAAATCTGTGCAAATCAACATCTTCACCAGCATATCTTTAAAAAGAGTTTGTTTTTTTTTCAGTGTGGACCTATATTCAGTTTTCCTTTGCTCTAAAGAAAAATGCTCACATGACATACTGTACATGTTGGAAGACATAGCAAATTGTGTGTACTGTAAGTATTGGCAGTAGCTATATGTTAGAATAGAATAGAGTGGGTGCTCCACCCAGATTGGTGGGTGGGTGTTAGGGGTGGGGTTTGTGTGAACGGAGTAATAGTGTTTGTTTACAGTTCAAATGACCCAGTGGTAGAAGCTGTTTGTGAGGCTGAAGGTGTGGGACCTGACTGTCTTGAGGTGCCGTCCGGAGGGCAGTGGGTCAAACAGGTGGTGGGCGCAATGCAAGGGGTCACCTGTGATGGCCCTAGTTTTTCTGAGACAGGAGGAGCTGGCAGCTCCAGAGGCAACAGAGGGCAGCTA